CAAAATTTATAGATGATAAATTATATATCAAAATGGAATTAATTGCTGGTTCATCATTACAAGATCATTTATCATTAATTAAAGATACAAATCAAAAAATGTCTGAAGATAATATATGGCGAGTTTTGATTCAACTTATACTTGCATTAAGATATTTACATAAAGAAAAAGGAATTGTTCATCGAGATTTAACAGCCAATAATATTATGTTAGATGATGAATATAGAGTTAAAATTAGTAAGTATTATATATCTATCTTAGATAATAAAGTTTATCTAGAAAATTTGAATAGAAGTTGAGCGCGGCAACAATAACATATTGTTTATTTAAATTTACACTGATAATATAGATAATTACAAAATATCTGATTTAAATGTTTGCTATTTATCTCCATTTATTCTGTTATTGAAATATTAAAAATTCGTTGAATAAATTACGAGAAAAATTTCTTCGAAAGTGTAAACCATGAAATTTGATGTCACTGTTAAATAATAAGTTCATATCAATCTTAAGGAATCCGCTGAACGATTTATTGATAATAAAAGTCTATTAGAAATATTTCAGATCAATTGATCTTTTGTATTAGTCAATTAAAAATAACGAGGGAAGTCTTCCAACTGATAAACTATTTTTGAGTTTAGACTATTTTGATTATAGAAGTCCAAGTGAGTTATGAGTTTTCTGAAAACAGTTCAGACCCTTAATTTATTGTTGCTAAGATACTACGTTTTTACGGTAGTGTTTAAATGAATATTGTGATCCCTCCCTGAAAAACTGATTTTCGAATTTTAATTTGAACCGAGGCTCAGAGACAAATTAATGATAATAGGTTTTTGTGAATGTTTCAAAACTTGTCATTGTTTGTATTTTACGACACAACTATAGTAGAAGCATGTCTTTTACATTCTTATATATATAACGGTAAATTCGATGTTCTTATTTCAAAATAAAAGCAAATCAAAAGACTTGAAATGTTCACAAGAAACTATATTCCATCGTTATAGAAGCTTTCAAGTTGAAACTCAAAATTCAGTTGTACTGATGTTTCTAACAAGACTACGGCATTTGTTTAAAAACTACCGGTAATTTGTAATATCTTTGCAAAAGTAAGTTAAGAGTCCGAACTCTTCAGGATATAGAAAAATCATTTAGGGCTATATGATGCACTTACGAGGGAACATTCCCAGGCGTTGGAACGCTTTTTAGTCGGGACTTTATGCATCTTATAGGCCTTGATGAATTATGTCTACCGTAAAAAAAAGTTCGTGCCCCTAGCTTGTTCCTGGTGAGATATCGAGGTTTTAGTGAATTTTTTCTATAAGACCCCACATTTGCAGCAAGGCCATATTTTTTAATTTTGATCTGAAACTTTGTCCACATAAACACCTCAGCTAGACTAGTTTGCATAAAAATTTTCAGAACTTTTGGGCAAAGTCTCTCCGAGATATGAAGCTTTCAAAAAAAATGCATGCTTTATACGCTATCTATGGAAAACAGCCTATACGTTGAGAGCTTCATATCTCGGAAAGACTTTGTCCAAAAGTTCTGAAAATTTTTGTACAAACTAGTCTAGCTGAGTTGTTTATGTGGACAAAGTTTCAGATCAAAATTAAAAAATATGGCCTTGCTGCAAATGTGGGGCCTTATAGAAAAAATTCACTAAAACCTCGATACCTCACCAGGAACAAGCTAGGGGCACGAAATTTTTTTACGGTAGACATAATTCATCAAGGCCTACAAGATGCGCAAAGTTCCGACTCAAAAGCGTTCCAACACCTGGGAATGTTCCCTCGTTAGCATAGTCCTAAGCTAAAAGCAATGAATGGATTGAAAACATTCCTTCGGAAAAATTTTAGAAAGTATATAATAGGTCCATATATAGAAAGATTAAAAGGAATTTTTGGAAGATACCGTTTATCTTCAATAAACAAAAGAGAAAAGTATATTTTTTCTTTCGATGATTGATAGATGACGATGTTTATTGATTTCATATTCTAATTTCTAGCTGATTTTGGTTTGGCTAAATTACGTAATAATGATTGCAGTAAGATGACATCGGTCGTCGGTACAATGTATTATGCTTGTCCAGAAATTATTCAACATTTGAAATATAATGAAAAAGCTGGTGAATTTTGATTTTTCATTACTTTCTTCTTTAGCTTTGAAATCATTTCTATTTTTTTTTTAGACATATGGAGTTTAGGCTGTGTACTTTATCATATGGTAGCATTAGTGCCACCATTTTTTACTTCAAATATTCTATTACTTGCAAGTAAAATATGTGCAAGTGAATATGATCAAACACCACTTCAACATTATTCGGATCGAATTCGACAAATTGTTATTGAATGTTTAACTGTTGATCCATTAAATCGTCCAGATATATGTGGTATTGCACAGTTATGTACAGAACAATTAATGTCATATACTGATCGTTCATGTACTACAATACAATCATTAGAAAAACGTTTAAGACAACGAGATCGTCAGCGTGAAATTTATTTTCTAAAACAACAATCACAATTACAACAACAATCCAATCATCATCAAAGATGTTTAAGTTGTTCAAGTACGAAAGAATCACTTGTAAGTAGTAGTGGTGGAATGGCTGATGTTAGTTTTGATGGAACAGATGGACAACATGATACAATTAAACAAGATACATTTACGATGGGTAAAATAAATCTATTTCTATGTTTATCGAATTTTTCTTTATTTGTGCTTTTTTTGAAGTATCTGATTGTGAAACAATTGAAAATGTATCAAATAATATTATTCCACAACCACCAAGTAATTCCACAAAACCAACTAATATCCGACGTCAACCAAATCGAATTACATCTGAACCATTATCAAATTCAACTGAAAGTATATATCGATAAAAAAACCTGATTTGTTTGTTTTCTTAAAAAAGAAAACGTTTTCATATGAAATATTTAGCTGCAATATGTCCAGCTCGATCACCTGAATCATCAAATGTATCGTTCGAAAGTGGGTATGATAGTAATAACATAGCACAAGGAATTCATAATTCTTTAAGTTTATCAAATATGGAACGCAAGTGAGTAAACGAAATTCTTTTTTTGGCACATTAATATTAAATAGGCTACTTAAATTGGTTTTTTTTTGTTGTTGAATTTTCACAAACCATTGTTTAAATGTTTTTTTTAGACCTAACAGTGCTATTAATCGTCCACGACCATCATCGGCAACTGGTTCAATAAGTATATTGAATTCACGTCTTCGACCAACTGATCCAGTTAGTCAATTACTAGATATAGTTCACAAAATAGTTTATATATCATATGTATGTATTATAAAATAAAACAAAAATATGTTTTATTTTTTATATTGCCTTATTCTCTTTCTATAAGGTACCATCAAATAAAATAAATCATAAATATCGTCGTTTAATTGATCGTTATAGAGGTTATTTATTTTCAAAAGGTTCATCACAGAATTTAAAAAGTGAATTATCAAAATTATCAACTCATTCAACTGATTGTATTGAATTTGATGTTGGAATTGGCCGGCAAATGATTGGTTTACAATCATTGACAGGTTCATCACGATCATCATCGACTAGTCTGTTAAATCTTAATGCTGGTAGAATATTAATGCTAAGTATTTTTTCCTAAGTATTTTTTATATATTTTTAGTTGATTTAACTATTCCGGAAAGTGACGGATCTGTCACCTATGAACAAATGATGACATTTATTGAACAAGTTCTTCGAGAAACTGATTATTACAAAGATACAGCAACACCTATGTCACCTAGTGAATCACTTCCACCAACCGCCCACAAAAATCAACGACGACCATCTGGAAGAAAATAACAACAAACTCTGACTGTGATTTTATTTGCTCATGTAATACAATGTATTTTCTTTGGTTGTTCTAAGATTAATTTTATGAAATATTTGAATGCGAAATTAATGAGAAAATTAAAGGAAAGAATGAAAGAATGAATCGAAAAAAATGAATGTTAACACAGTAACCATTATTTATTCTTGTTCGATGTTTTTAAAAACATTGTACATTTTCATTTCTTGTTTTGTCGTTTTGCATTTTAGACGAACATATTGTTTTTTTTTCTCTTCTGTTAACAACACAAATAAAATGCAATCATGTTTGATCGATTTATTATTGAGTGCATATTTAACTGAACGTTCACAATCAATCGATATATCACGTTTAAAATTACCGAGCATAACACAATCACAAAGTGCTCTTTTATCATTGGAAACTATTTATCTTAGTATTCAACAATCGTCATCATCTAATCATAATAATGATCAAACTCAGCAGCAAGAAGATGATGAAAACGATGAAAAAATTATTGGTAAAGAAAATAATGAATCATCTCAAATAAGTATAACTGTATGTGATGAAGCTAAAAGTTTAAAACGTCAATTTTCATGTAATCGTTCATTATTAATACGTGAAATGCGTTATTTTGCTGATTATTTAAAAGATGAACCTGATCAAGTTGAAGAAGTTGATATAAGTGTTCATTGTGATTTAGATATATTTCAATGGTTAATGTCATTTGTTAATCGTCGTTCATCATCAAAAGAACCTGAATTAGAACCACGTGTAGCTGTATCCATATTAATTTCATCGGATTTTCTTAAAATGGATAAACTTGTATTCCAATCATTAGATTATATTCATATACATATGAATGACATATTAGCTACAAATTGTAATGTATCATGTATTCCTGATCCATTGTTTCGTCAATTAGCTAAACTTTTTGAGAATCCATATGAAATTGAATTAATACATGATAGAAAAAATAAAATTCGTGGAAAATTATTTGAATGTAATCTAGAACAATTATTAAATGATAATAAAATAATACGTTGTCAATATTGTCTTACAATAATGACTACTGAACAAATGGAAGATTTACCTTGTTTAACAGATCGATTAATTTTAAGACCTAATGGAAAATTTTATTTTCAACATAAAATTGATCCTAAATTTGATATTAATCTATGGGTAAAAGAAATTCATACACGTGGAGAAAATTCATGGAGAAATACGTTTTGGATTGTTTGGTAAATATCCATTTTTTAATATTGTCAATTTTCTTTTGCCTGATTTAATCTCGTCACTGATGTTTAACATTGCGTGTTATCACGTAGTGTTTCCGTTATTTCTTCACTATAGAACTCATATATGAATAAATGCAATTCTTTTTTCCCTCAATCTAAAAAACTCTATTACAAAAAAAAAAGATAACTATTTCTTGTTTTTTTTTAATTTATTTTTAAGGTTACATACTCATGGAGATCATTGTGCACGTTGTAATTCATATTTTCGTTTTATTGATTTTTCAACATGTCCTTATCATCCACTTTCATCTATAACTGATGGTAAACATGATTGTTGTTCACAGTTAATTAGTACATTTGATATTTTTCAATCAAATATTCGAGAAACTGGTTGTCAAAAACGTGAACATGTTTGTCAAATACAGAATTATTTATCAGAAATCTATGAAAATTTAGATAAAGCTGAACTTGTTAAACATCATCCATCATTTCGAATTTCACGTATTAATCCAAATTATACAAATGAAATGATTAGTAAAGTTGTTGAACAATCTATATATGGTTCATCAAATTCAGAAGTAAAAAAACAATCATTACGTGCACAATGGACGCCTTTAATTGATGCCCAACCATATGGATCAGATATAAAATTTGCTTGGGATGCAACAAAATCTACTCGTTGGAATCAAGATACACAACGAGAAGATGAACATCGACGTTTTGATGAAATGCTTCGTTATATGCAATTAATACAACAAAATAATAAAACACCTAATAATCGTACATTAAAAGAAAATACTCCATCATCATTTGTTTCACCAGGTGGAATTTATTGTCGAATTGAAAATGAATGGAGAACTCGTCAAAATAGTTCTCTTAATAATATTAATACTACTATTAATAAAAATCGACAACGCATTACAATTAAATAATGAAATACATACTTTTATGTCATATATTTATGACTGAATATTTATATGTAGTCTTGGTCTTGTTTGGTTTTTTTTTTTGAGATCATTTGATCTGTATGTATTTGTCACATAGCTATATTTGATGCACACATGCATATAAAATCGTTCATCCGAGTATATAGCATGAAAATACACATTAATAATAATGATGCTTAGGATTAAAACTAATGTAAAAAGATTCGATAGATTAATTTAATTGTTTTACTCTATAAATACGTATAGCTCAAACAAGAAATAATCATTTAACTATTCCACTAGGAAATCAAACTTTTAAGATATTACGAAGTCTTTTTTTTAACATAAGGGTAATCAATTTAAAATACGTAAGTCATTCTGACATAGGTAAAAATTGAGCAAAATATAAATTTCTATTTAAGGATACTTTCCCACTTTTCTGGAGTTTCTGGAATTGATCCATCAGGAAAACTCAAAAATTTCAGAACACATAGACCTTGATGAATACAGTAAAAGCTGTTTTTCCGGATGCCATCTTCGCTGAGATACTGTAATCCCAATGACAAAAAAAATGCTCTTCTACCTTTTCTCCAGGGTGCTACGTTCGATCGAGCTGAAAAGTTTTTTCGGCAGGCAATAGGCACTGTTTGAGCTGAATTTCTTGTTTAGTTTTTGTTCTTCCTATTAGAGAGCCAAAAAAACATCAAAGGCATCCTAAAAAACGCATCTTTGTTTTTGAATAGAGAGCTACCAATGTAGTGGAATATTGCTTTTCTTTGAAACAAAAAAAAAATTATCCATCTCAAACAGTGTCTCATGTACGTGAAAAAATTTCAGCCCAATGAGACTATACTAGGTTAGAGAACGAGGGTGTTTCTACAACCAATTTTTTCATGAAAAACTTAGTGTACGAAAAACGCAGAACAATCTACAATTTTTGCTAATTAGACTTTTTCACGTGGAAAGACAATGTTTTCGGGTCTCAAAAAATATACCCAATAGATAGATATTATCTAAGACTAAGAAGTGGCCACAAAAAAAACTTTTGGGGCACGAATAGACAAGGCACCTTTAATATAATCACAAGATGGTTAAAATATTCGTATTAATTATTAGATTATTATTTTTATGCATCTTTAGGTTTTTGAACAATCAAATTCTGTTTTTTAATTTAAGCAAACATCAATAACAGTAACTTATGTGTCTTTCATGTCAACCAGAACGTCAAATTCTTTGAAATCATTTGTTTTATAACATATTTATATTTATTTATGTCTTTTAATCATGACGTGATAAACTAGACAATGAGAAAAATAAAATATGTGATACATGGGCATACATAAATAAAGTAAACTAGAGAAGGAAAAAGAATCTTAAATAATCTGACACATAAAATAGAAATAGAGTTCTGTTTTATTTTTAAATGTCTCGAAACGATTTAAAAACCATCCAAATACCATAGACCATTATTGTTACTGAAATAAACATTCCTACAATTGGATCAAAATACCAAACACTTTGATTTGAATTATAAATTGTTACACTGACAACTACAGATAATGCCATTAGACCTGATATTAAAGTATTAAATGCATCTGAATATGCTGAAATAACATTTAATTTTTTTGCTACTGTATATTTGCCAAAAGCTAAACAAAAAAATATTATTGTTTGAATAGCAACTGCAACAACTAAATAATGATTAGGTATTGGATGAATTTTATGTCGTATATCAAATACTGAATCAATGAATACGCCAAAACCAGAAACAAAAAATAGTGCTGCTAGAATTCTTAATACATGAATTTCTCTTTTAACTTGATCATGTGTACTTGTAAAACGCCAAATAATAGTTAAAAATGCTAATACATCAAGTATTGTATCAACAGCGAAGCCAAGTGCTGATGCTGATTGTTCCTCTACAGCTAAGAAAAATGTAATCGAACCGCAAACTGTACTAACCACAATTGAAATAATATTTAATGTAATAAGTGCATGACGAGTTGTTGTTTCTTCTTCCGTTGATAATAATTGATTTGTTGGTACAAATAAATCGATTTTTTCATTATTTTCTGGTTCATTTGGAAGGTTTGCTCTTGCTACAACAGTATATTTTGGTGCTGGTGCATCATCATCAAATCTTTCATAACGAGCCATTAAAGAAAACCACTAATAAGAATAATCTGAAAATAGAATATAATTTTATGGTCTCATTTTTTTTATCGAGCATTGTTATTGTTATTGATCGACTACTGCGAATGGATCACATCATTAAAAACTCTATGTGCGTGTATGTGAGACTGAGTAAATGTTTTATATCGCGTTCACAGCTTTCTCTTCTTCTTTTCTTGCACACCCCGAACCTTCTTCATCATCAACAGTAGCGAGTGTCGTTTCCATTTTTTTTATATTATTAATCATCTCTGACTTTTTTTCTTGTACCTCTATGCTTTGCACACTAATAACATTCTTGTTTTTTTCTCTTTTTCTCTCTACTATTACTTCATAGACGCTACTATATAAAGTGAGAACGAGAAGGCAGGTGAACTACCTGTTGATGCTATTGCCGGAACTAATATTACAATGAGAACATATACCCGTTGGGCTTTAGTATATAGAAAAGCACGCGTATAGAATGTACAAGACTTAATTTTCAATTATAAATGGATGAAAACAACATACAATAGTACCAAATTATAACATTTTCTCTTCTAATATGACACTCATAATAAGACTGACGGCTGTTCGAATTATAACCTATATTCTACCTTAAATGAAATAATATATATATTTTTTTTTGTGTACTACAACATTTGATATTCTCTCTCCTTATATTTTTGCTATTCGCCTTGTCATTAGCATGTAAGGCGTTTGTTAGTAGTTATAGTATCTTCAACAACTTCCTCCTCTTTTCTCTCTATTGTCTAGTTTTGAATACAATCTTTCTTCTCTTCCTTTTCCTCTTCCTCTTCAAACATCTTATACTGACAAGCAACAAGCGTACCAATTAATTATGAATTTGTATTGATGCTCTCTTTTTCTCTATTCATTTTTAGACGATCTGTATGTAGCATACTCAAGATTTGAACATCATCATCTTCATACATCTTACATATATACAATATATATTCTAGAAGATTTTCTTTAATCATAACTGAGAAGAAAAAAAATAAATGAGATGAGGGAAAGAAAATGAAGTAGGCAATATGATGCGTAGGCAAGAAAAAAGAATACTGTAGCTAATTCATTTTTCTAGTAATCACCAGATGGAAAAAGAAAGAGAAAGAAACTCCTCCCTATTCACACGCAAACTCAATTTTACAAGCTGCCAACAGCTTTGAGCTCCGGCGATCAACCGTGCTATTTACTCACTACATCATACATAAAAGACTCACTCAATAGTCGAGAAACAGCACGAGACAAGTCTATAATATGAACTTATCGTTAAAAATATAATGCATGCCCATACTGTGTATATCCGTCTTTATATTAGAAAAAAAAAGAGATTTGAGATATAATAAGAAAAAAAGTGTCAACATTAATTAGTTTCAACAAACAAATGATGTTTCCACAAGAAGATAATAGATGACGAATAATATTGACGAGAATTTTTTTTTTTTTTTTTATTAAAAAACTTCATCATCAAAAAATAAGTTAAAAATAAGATACAATGAAACAAACAAAGCAACGATTTCATTTTTGAATCAATTTCTATGCTTGGTTGCTATGTGTACCGATCTATCTGTAAGAAAGAGTCGATGAACAACAAATCAAGATAATCGTTTCATACGCGCGAACTTATCCACCTATGTAAAAACTCATTGAAACTGTGTTTTTTTTTCAAATCAATGAAAAAATAATGACAACCATTAATCATAAACGACATCGTTTAATAACAAAATCAGTTGAAGATCATACGACAAATATCAATATACAACCTTCAACAACAAATCGAATGAAAAGAAAAACATCATTAATCAATTCAGACATTATTCATACAACAACAACAAAAAAACTTGATATAGTTAAATCAACTGAATTTGAACCAAGAGATCAGTATGAATTTTATATTTGTATAAATTTAAAAAAACAAAGCATGATATTTGCATATATATATGTATTCTAGAAATCAAAATATCGATTCCTATTCACAAATAGATGAATCCACATTGAGCCTAAATAATGATAATAATAATCATAATCATAATTTTGATCATGGTTAGTTACAAAAAAAATAGAAAATATTCAAACGAATTTAATTGATTGATTCTTAGTAGAAAATGATTTTGATGATTATGCTGATCGAATTTTTAGTTATTTGGGTGAAGCTTATACTAAACAAATAAGTTCATCTTTACCTGAAAATGAAATTAATCAAATCAATTCTTCTTCTCAATCTATCACACCCACACATACTTCTGATAATGATATCAAACCATTTCTATGTGCTTTTTGTCCATATTTTGCTCATAATATTCAAGAATTTCAAACACATATTGCAAAACATACGGAAAAAAATTTTCGATGTTTATTATGCAACTGCATGTAATTATTCAAATACTTATTGTTTTCATCCTGTAGTACTCTTTATTATTTAAAGGTATAAATATAGACGAGATTGTGTTACACATATGAAACGTAAACATTCAAATACTGTTAATGGTAAATCTAAAATAGTGAGAGACAATCATTTTTTTTTTGGATTCATTTTCTTAGGATCAATTTCACAATATATACAAAAAATTAATAGTACAACAATAAATAATAATTCAACTCAACCATCATCATCAATACCTTCAATAAATCCAAATAAATCAAATTCATTTGTTGAACCAAAACGATATGGATGTCCATATTGTTCATTAATGACCAAATCAACTTCCTCAATTTATAAACATCAATCACGTAAACATGCAACGTTTCCTAAAATAGTTCATAAATATTCATCAGACGATCCAAATACACGTAGTCTTGTTGCTATACTCAAACAGAAATCAATTAAAAGTAAGAATTTATTTATTTTTAGTATTTATAACTTCTATTTAATAATACAGAACCAATTCTTCAAACAATTGAAGGTAAAATCTTTTCTCTCATTTAATCAATCATTCTACAATAGAGCCTATAGGTTCAAAATTTTCGGATTTGGACCCAATCCACAAAAAAAGATTTACGCTTGAATCCGACTAATAAAAAGATTTCAGACTCGGACCCATACTCGACGGACTCTATTCTAGAACTATATTTTATATACAATTTTTTTTATAGATGAACAACTTATTAAATCTCAAGTTCTTGATGAGTCTTTAAATCTAAATGATTTACATGATCCATCAAATGTATCATCATCATTATCACTTACTCATCACTATACAGAATCTTTTCCATTAGTAAATCGTCATCGATGTGCTGCTTCAAAACATATTGTAAGTACTTGATATTTCTATATGAAATAGAGTCTATCTCAAGACACGTAATGTTATGTTTTCTAATCAAACTATTTTGAAGTTCATACAAAGAAAAAAAAAAAAAATTTTTGAAATATTTCATCTTTGATCATAAAACAAATGATCCCTAACCCAGTCAGTGATATTCAATATGAAACTATTTTCCAATAGACTGCTCATAATATTCATTCATCAAATGGGCGCCTATCAAAACTTTTTCAATGTTGTTTATGTGGTTATCGAGCACGTCATCGTAGTAATGTTGTACGACATGTTAAAAAAATACATACAATTGATCTCAATGAATCTAATCAATCAACAGAATTAATTAATAATCAAGTAGCATCTGAATTAATAGAAAATATTACACCTGAATATAATAAACAATCCGATGAAAATTCGGATAAATTAACTATTAATCAAGATGATGAAAAAACAAATCTTAATAATTCACATTTAGAAGAAAGACCAAATTATTCATTTAATACTACTGTACAGGCTCCACTTATACTCAATAAAACTACTAATAATAATGATCATTCAACGAATTCTTATGCTGATATTCATCTTTCAATAAATATTTTTCTATCAAAGAAAAAGCAACAAAATTCAGTTAGTTAAATAAAGAAAAAAATTCTTTTATTTAATTTTTTAAAATTTTTAGTTTGATCGAACAATAAATGATTTTAGTAGTAGTGAAGATAATCCAAATGATATTTACTCTGATGAAAATATAAGTGATGATGATATAACAAAAATTCATATAACATCATCTCATCCACAAAATCTTTCTAATGGATCATTATATAAACCACATAAATGTCGTCGATGTTTCTATCGATCAAATTGGAAAACTGATATGCTTCATCATATTCGTCTTAAACATCAAGTAAATCAAGCAACCAAATCTGATTATATATCAATGGATTTTGATACAGCTTTACGTACTTTTTCCGATTATGAAAAAACATTTGGCAAAGTACTTAAAAGTAAAATTAGAAATTTTTTTTTTTCTTATATGAAAAATAAACAAAACCAAATAAAAAATTTTTTTAATTTTCTTTTTCTTATAGATCGATTATTATTACCAAAAATAGATTATATTGATTGTACATGGGAAGAATTGAAATCAAAATTATTTATTAATGATAAACAAAAAAAAATAAATCGACAAGGTTTTCTATCTTCATCATCAATTGAACAAACAGCAATTATTAATAATAATACTTTTTCATTAATGAATAATGAAGAAAAAAAATCTATCAATTGACAATACCCGACCAACGTTCTTCGTATCTAGAAAAAAATGAAAAGAAAAAGAAAATAAAGAACATTTATAACTATTCAGTCAACATTGATCGATAAAACAAATGAATCGTTATATTGTCTTTTTTGTTTGTCAATTTCTTGCTAATTAGTTATCAATTCATAGTGATGTAAAAGAGCGTCTTGTCTTCTCATTTATTTTTGATTGAAATACCAATTCACTTTCTTTCGTTGTCTACACTGTTCTTACGTACAATTAACACATCTAAGTATATATATATATACCGACCAAGTCAATCATCATCTGTAGCAGACATACAAAAAAAAGGTGGAAGAAGCTCAGTTAGACATCTGTCAGTTAAATTACTTCACTATACATTTGCACACGTCAGTTAGAATTGAAGAAAAAAGTAGCTTGAACTTATTCTCCTTCTTTTTTCTTCTCATTTATATTTCATTTGAAAAATGACAAAAGAATAGCTTAATTATGTTTAATTAGAAATAGCTCATTCACATACAATTAATTAGAATAGTATAAATTATTGAAATAATGTAAAAAATCTTATTGAGATAGATAGATGACAGCATAAAGTTTATATGACGATAGACACTGTCACGAAATCGAATAAATAACAAGGTTTCTTTTAATAATAATAATAATAACAACAACAACAGTTGTATTTTTTCTTGATAGGCATCACAACAGAATCCTGTTGAAGAAAGGTCATTGGATAATTATTCAGTATATATTCTCGTAGAATGCACATACGTACATATACAAATAATTAAGTGATGAGTGTTCTTGGATATTCTTTCTCAGAAGATGTTCAATGCGATGTAACTTTTCATAATCTAATAACAAATGGCTTTTGCTGAAACAACAGCGAAGATTATTTTTTTTCTTTGTATCTTATACTTCTGTGGAATCAATATGATGATGTATATAGGACAAAGTGGGTGATGATATATGTATATGTAAATGTAGTATTGTCTTTCAAAGGCTCATTTCTTGTATACTACTATAAAGGAAACAGTTCAAACTGATACCTTCCACTTGAAGTATAGCTCATCAAGTGGTTTTTTTTTCTTATTTTGAAGTCTCTCTCTTCTACTTCTTTTTCTTCTCATCTCATCATCATCAAGAGAGCGAGAGAAGAAAGATTGCACACTTTTCTTTCTTTCTCTCTCTTAATTTTAACACTACTATATTCGCTTTCTTCTTCCCTCCTTCGTTCTTATTATTGCGGTTTCTTTGTACACATATACAAGTATACATACATTTTCTATATCGACGCGCCGTCACCAAATTCTTACCTATCTATAGAACTTACATATACACATTTTAGTAGACATGCATACAATCCTTTAGTTTGTATGTTCTCTCTCTCGGTACCTTACATGACATTTTAATATCCACTGGCATATGACTTTTTTTTTTGTTCTTTTTTTAGCTCCGGAAGCACAACACCTATACTATTGTTATTGTGACGCTTGCTAACATACCATAATATATCTAACAGTTGTCGACTATTGCTGTGATCAATTGACCAACAGTCATACATAAACATCAATAGATTAATCTTCTTCTTGTATTAGTAGACATGCCAATCGATAAGAGAAAAATGACGAATGTTACTACTAATCATTATACATGGTTATCATCGATGAGTTTTTCTACTAATACAATTTATTTATTTTTAATATTTATTTCACTTGTTTGGAATGCTTATAATACATATCAGCATCAAATTTTAATTAAAAAGCAATTAAAATTAGAAAATATTCTTGCCGAAATATTACCTTTACCATCTTCATTATCATCTTTTAATCACATACAAACGGCTACAACAACAACAACAACAGAATCATCAATCCAACAATGGTTCACAAAAGTTCTTCATCTGATTCATCAATTAACATCAGAAAATATGACAAACAATAGCAATAGTAATATTATTGCCAAGCCATATAGGGTAAGAATTGTAATTGTGGAAATGCTTATTGAGAACCTTGACACTTGTATTTGTATATATATATATATATATATATATATATGTATGGTTCTTGTCAAGGTCATACTCGTTTATTTGAAACATGCATAACAAATTAAACGAGACGATAAAAGCTCTCAAAGTGCTTCTGCTTGTCGAACATCAAAGGTTAATGATAAAAGATTTTTTGCTTTAATTTTTTGACACATTATGTCGAGTACCACTAGCAGTTTATTGTTACAAATTTCTTTTTTTTTTATGGATGTATGTATCTGTCAATCAGAAATTGAAATGCCATAGAAAAAAAAGAAAGTAAGACAGTAAACTTGATACCCTTCTAGCTCTTTCGTTTAATTTATGTTCATCCTTACCTTTCAATTTTTGAGATTAAAGTAAATATGATCTTAGTATATTGTCATCAACGACTAAGTGATTGAATATATCTTTTGCTTGTCAAACTTTTTGTTTAAAATCAAACGAACAAATGTCTTTTCTTTCGTCTATCATTAATATCAAATTGAAATGACTACCAAGGTTTTTCTTTTGTCATCTGTTCATAAGGTATACACACATGTATGCTCTTTCATTCTCATTACCTAAAGTGATAGACACCGGGGTCATAAAATGGCGATGAATAGGGTGTATATGCATCACTTTAAGTCATCGAGTGGATGAACATATACAAACTCAAAAAAGAAGTTTATAGTGCGCAATGATGATGATGATGGTGTCTGCATTTTAAAAAATAAACGCGTATTCATCCACTTTACATAAAACAGAATGCATAAAGACGACCAAGGTATTATCGTTATGACATTCTCTAGTTCTTCAATCAATAATTGATGTTTGTAAGATATAGACATTTGATCATTACGCGATGAATAAATCTATGATTGATACAAATATAAAAAAAAATGAAGAACTTCAAGTTGTATGTCACTAGCTTTTTCTTATTGTCGTCAAGAACATTATGTTCATTCGATGATGTAACAACATACTTTGTATTGATACATATATGTATATGTGTGAAAGAACATGACAAAATAATAGTAATGAAAAACAACATATTGATTAAGTTGAAATGACCTTTTTCATACATTGAATACAATCGAATAGAAGATAATCTTATCGGTTTTTTTTCTATTCATTCTATACGATAATTGAGTAGATGTTTATTAAGATTTATATTTTATCCTCAATGTAAAATTTACATTGATATATCGAATTATGATATAGTTGAAACAAACAAAAAAAAACAACTTCTATTACATTCTTTTTTTGTTGTTGTGTCTTTAAAATAGAATGTAGTACGTCAACGACGGCAAGTTCAAGAGTCACAACAATCTAATTGTTTTTGTCCTCCAGGTAAGATTTATATGATTTTTCAAATTGTCTCATATAAATCTATCGATATTTTATAGGTTCCAAAGGCGAAAAAGTATGTTGCGTGTTGGAATATATGTATTGTCTTATTGATAATATTGTTTTTTATTCTAGGGCGATCGTGGTTTTGCTGGATTTCCAGTAAGATATAATTGATTAATAGTTTTCTATAGAAAATATTTTTACTGATTTTGATAGGGTGAAACAGGGCCAAAAGGTGAACGTGGTTTTCCAGGTTCAATAGTTTGGAATGGATTAAAAGTAAATGTCGGATTTTTAACTTATAGTCGTCTTTGTTTAGTCATAACAACGGATCTGTTATTACTCAAATGACAGAAAATAGATAAAGTTTTTCATTTTGTTTAGGGTGAAAAAGGTGAACCAGGACGCGATGCAGAATCAAATCGTCCAGGAATGTCATCATCATCATCATCATCATCGTCTCAAGTCAAGTACATTCCAGGTCCACCCGGTCCACCTGGTCCGCCAGGACCTAAAGGTGATATGGGTCCGATTGGACCTAATGGCATCGGTGAAACTGGACCACCTGGACAAGATGTATGTTTTTTTCATTGACTCATGTTTCATACATTTCTTAACGTCTCCTTATCTTTTCTTCTAGGGTTTACCCGGCGAGAAGGTATGTAAATGTAAGAATTTTAACAGAAATACAAAAAAAAGACCATAGATTGAGATGAGCAGATAGTAGTAGAGATAAGAAAAAAAGAGAAACCAGCAACGCTTAATCTTTTTTGTTATTGACTTGTATTTTGTGTTCATATGATGATGCTTTATACAATCTGTAAAGCTTTTATTCACCTATAATTGATGTACCCTCCTCTCCTCGCTTCCGTATAGTTCATAGTCATATCCCCAGGTATTTTCGGTTGCATGTTTCCATTGTTATTAGTATTTATGCTTATTTTAATGGACACTATTTGTTTTTGTTGTCATTTATTTTTCAAAACACAGGGTGAAAAAGGTGATCGAGGACCTATAATTCGACCAAAAGTACGCAGGTTTGTCGTCATGAAAGGTGATCCAGGGCCACCAGGCATTAAAGGTAAAGACTTTATGACAAACATCCATTTTGTATCATGTTAACGTTTTATTCATTAAAAGGCGAGCGTGGTGATTTTGTTGTTGGACCTAAAGGTGATCGTGGTGCTCCTGGTTTACCCGGAAGGTACAATGAATATTAACATAGTGGTAAATATATTTGGTGTGTCTTTTTTTGCAGTCCAGGAATACCAGGACAAAATGGTCGTGATGGTATAGATGGACTAAGAGGTGAAATGGGTTTTCAAGGACCACCAGGAAGAAAAGTAAGAGTCGATTTATGAGTAAAAAAAGAAAACGATGAATGAATGTTATGACACAAGGCATTGGATTTGATTATTTTTTTATTACTTCAAGGGAGACCGTGGTGTCAAAGGTGAACCAGGATTTATTCAAAAAGTTGATTTCAATTCAACACATATCGTTCTAGTGGGTCCACCGGGTCTTCCAGGACCAAAAGTAAAAGAAAATTTTTTAGAATGATTTTTATTTTGTTTTATCTATTAATTTTTCTAGGGACGCATTGGTCTTCCTGGTCAACCAGGATTAGATGGAGAAAAAGGAGATCGAGGAGATTCTGGTCCATTGGTAAAAGAACACAACATATTTCAAAGATATATTAGAAAAACTAATAATTTATTTTTAGGGAATGACAGGACCAAAAGGAGATGTTGGACCTCCTGGATTTAAGGCAAGTCTTATGTGAAATATCGATTGATATTTCTGTTTAGTTCATTGTTTTCAATAATTCTAGGGTGAAAAAGGTGATCAAGGCAAAGGAGAAAAAGGAGATCGTGGTCCAATGGGTTTGCCTGGTTATTCAATGGTAAGAACAACATATCTCTCTGGTTGTGATTTTGCCGCATCTAAAATTCATTTTACGTATTTTAGCATATGCTCGATATGCCTAAAAAACGTTCAACGGTACGTATTATGATTATTGTTTCATGTACATTGCATGCCTTTGTATAAATGTTTATTATATTATACTAAATGTGATATACATTGATGTAACAATCGAGATTACATGTATATATATATATATATATATGTAAGGTGTTGCTGGTTTCCTTTTGACAATATTAGAAGTCGATCAATATTGATCGAGATTATTTTATGATATTTGTTTGTTGATTTCAGGGTAATCGAGGTGAACAAGGTTTACGAGTAAGAATAAAGCATTTAGTTTTTGACATTTACATTTTTTTAATGTTTTTTTTTGTTTAGGGTCCACCGGGAGAAAAAGGAGAAAAAGTATGTGCATCATAAGAAACTCTTTTTTAATTTCTTTATGTAAACCTTTTTTTTAGGGTGAAGAAGGTCGAGAAGGACGACGAGGTTTACGTGGTCGACCAGGTTTACCAGGCCCAGCTGGAATGGATGCATTACCATGTCCACGTGAACTTTTATCTAATTTTGAAAATGCATGTCATTTATGTTGTAAAAATCCATAAGACATATATCGTAAGATATGTTTAAAAACTATTTTACGAGAAAAATGTTAATTTAATTTACTTTATTCAGTGTGACGAGCTTGGAAAAATTATCAACGATCTCATTCTTATTCTCCGGTGCTATATTTTTCAACAGTTAAAAAATAGTGGAAGAAGAATTGACTGAGATCAATCGAAATCTGATGACATAAATTTTCTTTTTCTGTCTTTTTTCGTGTTTTTTTCTTGTATTGTCTTATCGTTTTATGTAATCCATGTGTGTGTTTTGTGCATTATTGTTGTATATAGATTATTCTCTATAGTAAATTTTTGTTCGGATATGTAACAACAATAAAAGAAAACTATAATTTAAATTTTATCGTTTCTTTTTGTTTTTCTTTATTTGAAGAATAACGGGTGATTAGAAAGTCTTTTTGACAAAACTTTTGTTCGCTTTTGACACACTAGAAAGTACTTATGACGAATAAAAAGCTATAATTTGGTGCTATTTTCAAAAATGACCTGAGAAGTTTTGTCTCAGTTTTTGTTTCACAGTAGTGACCTAACCTTTCAAAAGGCTAAAAAATTAGTTTGGATGAAAAATTTACACATTTTCATTATTGTAATTCGAAAATCAAACTTGGAATTTTTTTTGATACATCGGCTTGTAGATCAGAAGCTATCCGACAAAATGCACCATTTGAAATTTTTTTCGTCTTTCGACAAGATACTTAAATTTTCGTTTTTTTTCTACATACTCTTTTTTTTGAAAAATCGACAACCGTTTTACGTTGCAAGAAACTTTTCAAAAAATACGATTAGGTAAAAGTTACATCTTAGTTTAATATCACACTTTCTAGAGCAGTGTTCGCTCTACAAAGCAATTTACTCTGATAATTTTTAGTATGCTCAAAAAAGGATTTATGGAATAAACAAAAACCTATTGGCTGATTATTAAAAATAATTATTCAGATTTTTCAAAAAGTTCTCACTAATTCTGAGCGAAAATAGAGACAACATTTCTAAGTTCATGTTCAGAAAGAAGTACAAAATTTTGATCATAGATAAAGCCCATCGAGTCTAATATTTTCGGATCCAAAGACTGAATGGGCTCTAATGGTAACCTGTAGTTTTGGGATCATCTGAAGTACTGCCAGACATGCTTGTGCGAAACGTTGGCCTGTAAATTTTGTCTAAACTAATGCTATTGGGCTTTTCAAACGTTATTTTAATACTCTTAAATGCAATTTCTAAGTTCATATTTGAAAAGTGCACAAAATCATAGCATTTGATTCGTCAGAAATACTTTCTAGAAGATCAAAAGTGCACAAATATTTTGTCGACAAACTTTCCGATCACCCGTTAAATCGAATGATAATAATAAACTAGAAATATGAAAAAGTAAAACAATGCTTGTAACCATGTTTTAGTTAATAAATATAATGATGAAGTTTGGTTGCAAAAATGTGTATTATTACAACAAAATATTTTTTCTTTTATATTAACATTTGTTGTTGAATATTCAGATCTACATTGAATATCAAATATTGATAATGATGAGAGTGCCGCGAACCGAAGACAATCTTTTGTAATATCAATATGATAATCAATCATTTTTATATATTTAACACAACCAATAGCTTCTTTATATGAACAATAAATATGATAAGGTTGAGAACAATCAATAAATCTCTTTGATTCAACAAATGACATATGAGAATTTATTTGATCTATTCGACCACAAAAAACACAAAAAAAACCGAATGATAAATTTAATGTATTATTTGTAGGTATTTGTATTGTACATTGAAGTATATCAATAAGAACAAATAAAATTGACCATTGTCTTATAAAATTGAACATGTGAACAAAATATTTGAATAATGACGGTCATTGAAAATGAAAACAAGAAGTAACTTGTTTTTTTTATATAAAAATAAGAGAAACAGAAAGATTAAAAGTTTAAATATCGCAAAAAAACGCATTTTAGTATTTACATAGTAACAATAGTTCAAACATTTAAATGAAATACAATAAGATTTTATTAATAAAATTACAGAAATATGTCGAATCAATTTATTGGATTAGAATAGTTTTCCATATAATGAAATGAAAGCTTACAAAAGAAGAATTATCAACTATTGGGTATTGTACTACTTTATATTTTAGTCATGAATAGGTCTCGATGAGATTAAGAAAACACTAAAAGAAGTGAAAGCTATCATCATTTTGAATGAAAGTCTTAAATAGAATGCATATTTTATTAAAAGAACTTTTAACTTCATTGATTTTTATGAATTGCAAAGTATGATTGTTTTAGTTTCATTCAGTTATAGCAAAATAAAAGTAGAAAATAAATGAATAAAAAATACGAAATATAGCCTGTCTGTACAAAAACTATATAGATACTAAGGTAAATGTGCAAGATCAGCTGCACTTTTGGCATCAAGGCAAACATTAAGTGACAAACTGAAAGTGTACTTGATGATGATTGATATACGGATGCGTATACGCTGATCTATCGATTATTTAATGATATAAATGACTTTGTTCTTCTTGTTAACATTAGTCAGAAAACATAGTGAAAACTTCGCTGAAAAACGCCACTAGTAAAGATTAGGAATCTTTTTCTTTTACTGTGCATTGAAAACATGACGAGACAATTATATATAATCCAAGACCGTGTTTTTCACTCCATCCATTCGTAAAAAAAGAACTTTCGCTTTTATCTACTTTACATTCATGAAAAGTTATTCTTCTTTAACATCGAATGCTTTTACGAAAATGCGTGTTCGTCATACTGAACTTGCACAAATTTTCAGAATTCTGAATTGGACGACACTTTCACCGATTGTCCTTCTATCATAACATCGATATAGCATTAGTATGAATCGGTGCGAGCATTCCACAGCTGAGCTATAAATTTTCATTTTTTATTCTCGACATAGAAACACTTTTATTGAAGACTAACTTCATATTTGGAATTTTGTAAAAAAAAATTTTCTATATATATTTATATTAGAGATGATCGAGAAAATCGCGTGCCGTATCGTGCTCTAAAGCATACCAATACAACATTTAGCAAGCTCGTGTGGAGGGTTCTCTTTTTTGGCGTTCCACGATTTTGAGCATACTAGAAGAATGCTAACGAAACGAATTAAACCCTAGCAAAGCGCGTCAACAAAACCAAAATATGAAAGAGAAATGCGGCGCGCTCATGTGTGAGCAGTACAGCGAAACAGCATGGCATTGTCTCATGGTCTCTGATATCTATGGCAAGGATCTTTCACAGTAATTTTTTAGTAAAAACACCCTTCTACGTCAAAGAAACACATGTTCGTCTGGTCTATAGAATTAGACCACTGCAAGGCCTCAATGTAGGCCATCATGGAAATATACTCATAACTAATATATGAAAACGAATTGGGATCTAACAATTGTAGATGTTCTTCCATCGAATAATGTAAATGAATGGTATCATATTAGTATCCGTTAAGTGAATTCCTACTTTTTTGAAATCTGGTAGTTTCACAGCTAAGTTTTAGTATTTCGTGAAACACGAGCTACAAGGAGTGTTGAAGTATAAAGGTGGAAATTTAGATCCTCGCAGAATGAGCATCTAGAAGAGCATTTGACTAAAAATTTAAAACCACGCTTGTTCATGATGGAAATATAGTCTATCTAATAGCATATATAAGTTTGTGACGGCATTCGAAGAAACTGAAAAAACAGCTGCTAAAAAATTAGCTTCAAAATCACGATGTTATTCGCAACATTGATATCTAACAAAGTTAAACTGTTCGACAGACAAATCAAGTTTATTTTCTTAATTCTCAAGCCCAACTGTATATAATGGTTAACCATATCTTTTAACTTGCTTGCTTAGCTTCTCAAAAAAAAAAAAAATTAAGATTTTTTTCCCGTGTCTCTAATGTTTGTTAACGCAAACGTTTCTCAACTGCACAGTGACTATCCCAAGAATCTAGATTTTTCTAATATTTTTCAGCTTTTCTAGTCTTTGAAAAGTATTTAATCAACAAAAAAGTATATTTGAAATCTACACATTAAACTGCGTCGAATGATAAATAACATAAAACAATTTTGAAAAAAAAAGTTTTCTCCACAAAATAAGGACAAGGGTTACCCTTAGGCATTTTTCGTTAATAAGCTTTTTCTTAAAAATTGTTTTCTTTCTTAAGAGTGTTTTGTTGTATCATGTCCAATCATGTCTTTGCAAAAAATCGGTTTTCGAACAGAAAAAAGTCACATGTCTGTCAGCTATGCAAAAAAATATATACTTTGTCTTCTTGTCTACTGCAGAGACGTGTCAAACATTTTCGATATACAATTACAGTCATTATATCAACTACTTTCTCATTATATTTCTAAATAATTAAGTGAAACTGCGATGTAGAAATGTATCTCAAAATAGATTAAATAAAACGACCTCCCTATGATTAGCAACAACAATTACATTGTGTTTCACATTTTAGTCCCGTCGGAATTGCACTAACAAATTGTTATCCTATTTCTGTTGAAGATATTGCACATCAGATCTGTTATTATGATACTTCATCAAGACATGAACTTTTCAATATTGATTATATCTTTGTATCACTTTTCAAATTATCAGATCATTCATATTGAATGTTGGTAACAAAAAAACACTCTTTAATAAAAACGTTTTGCGTAACAAATCTATGAAGAATAGAAGAAAAACAAAATTGTTAAAATGTTGCATTGGCAATTGGACGTTGACGTTGAAGTCCATCAAGTGTATTAGAATCTTTGTTATTTGAAGTCTTTTGTGTTTTTGATTTTACATCTTCAACTTCAATTTCAAATCGAGCATGTTCAACACCATCAGTTTCGCCTTCCCATTGTCGTTCTTCACCATTTTGCTCATATTCACCTTCTTCGTATACTTCTTGTTCACGTTCCTCAGCAGTTTTCATTTCGGGTTTCGAGCCATGCCATTCCTTATCAGCTATACCACCGCGTGCTTGTAATTCATTAACAGTCTCAGTAGCATTCATTTCCCTTGCCCATGCTAATGGTGTATTGCCTTGAGAATCCTAAATATATACGTTATAAAATCTATTGTAATAAATACGAAAGAATATTTCTTACTTTAATATTAATATCAGCACCTTTTTCTATAAGTAATGTTAGCATGTCTACATTATTATGTCCTGCAGCTAAATGCATTGGACTCCAGCCTGATTGATCTAATGTATTTAATGGTACTTTGCCTTTTTCAATTAATAACTTTGCTACATCATAGAGGTCATCATCAACAGCATAATGTAATAAATGATGCACATTTTCATCTTGATTATTAGCAAGCATTTCAGGCGTTGGTGCAGCACGAGCTCCGTGATCTAGAAGCATTGTTATAAGTTCTAAATATATATATAAAATCAAAATAATATTATTTTTTTATATGAAATGATTAGTCTTACCAATATCATCGAAGTTCATAGCATCTGCAATGAGACTCATACCTCCAACCCAATCACAATCAACTTTAGCACCACGTGCTAATAACATACTTATATTTGGTTTACTACCTCGATTAACAGCTGTCATTAATGGAGTCCAACCATGTTCATCACGCATTTCAAAATCATCAACATAATCCAGTAATGGTGCTAATAAATCCGAATTGTCTATAGAATTAGAACAATTTTAGAATCAATATAAATAACAATGTATATAATACCTTGCCATGTTGCGTAGTGAAGTATAGTATACTGGCCTTCTTCAGAAGGTACATAATACTTGCATAAATTACGAATTTCTTCAGCACTTAAATCTTTAATAACTGTTCTCAATTCACTGGCATCTTGATTTTCAATAGCTCTAATCATTGATTGCTCTTTACTTAAACCAAAACCCATTTTTCTTCTTTTTCTTTTGGATATACGAATAAGATAACTGCTTGTTTATATTCAATTACTTCACTTGTCAGCTCTATATCCAGTATTTATACCAATATTTGTTTAGAGTAACTCGATAGCGACTAGAAAAAAAAAAACGCAAAAAAAAAATGCAATAAATATACTACCTTGTTTGGTTACGAAAAAAGGAAACAGACCAATGAGCATCATCAATAAACCACGCATAAATGTTTCATTTGTGCATTATGTGCGCTCATTTACTTTCGTACTTTAACTTGCAAATCAGTGATGCGCATCATAGCTTTTCTCTCTCTCTCACCTTCATTCGTTTACTTGCTATCAAAGAAATCAATGACGACATTGAGACTGTCATGCATTTATATATCACACAAATTCATGTAAAAAAATATCGTTTCAATAATTAAAAAAAAAAGGAAAAATTATTGATTAATAGGAAAGCGATTGTCATCTTTGCCACCCTCGTATGACGAAATAGTAGAAATTAAATTTGATACAATATCTAAGCGATCCTAAAATAGAATAAGAAGCATGACATTGAAGTTGTCATGATGAAAACAAAACAGACTCGAATCAATGCATTGACTTGATTCTTTTTTCTATAAGCATCTGGTTCGGATTGTTCAACTTTTAAATTACTAGCAATTGATTGAAATGTTTTCAAATCAGAACGACAACGTTCACCATGTGCTTGTAAATCACGAAGTAGCTGTTCACATCGATCTCGTGTTTGTCGACTCTAATATTTCAGTTGCAAACAAAAAACAAACATTACTGTCACTGATTAGAAATAATTCTTACTTGTTTCAAGTTTTCGAAATCACGGCAAACAAGTTCAATTACATCATTAATCACTTTAACATCTTTTTCAATACTTAATAAACGTCTAAAATGCTCATCTTCTATTCCAGTTAACTAAAAAAAGTTTTTTTATTTTAGAAAAAAAGAAAAATACATCGAATGTTTTCTTATTTAGCAAACTTTTTCTCCAACTAAAATAATACGATTTCCATTAAACAAACCAAAAGTTTCTAATGGCTCATCAGGCGTTAGATGTAAGCGTTGTCCTAAAAACCAAAAGAAATTACTATTTCAAGCAGATATTAAGTTATCGATTAGAAAATGTTACCACGATAAAGTAACTGTTGATTCATCATTGTAACTCGAGCTTTTTTTTCAACTTCCTCCATAAGATCTTTGACCAAAGGTGAACGTTCCATATGAAGATGAATATCATATCGATCAGAACCTATGAGAATGTATATAATGGAATATCAAAAAGAAAACTCCTTTTTTACCATGTGCAACTTCAAGATGTAAAATATAAAAACGACTTTTAATGTCTGTATTTGTCATGTTTCGTAAATGTTTAACAATGAAAATGGTACAATTAACGTTACTGTGGTATTTTTAACCATTTTTAACTTGAGTTTCTATGGAGAAAAAAAGAATTGAAAAGTTCAATGGAAAGAGATGACGCTGTTCGACAGTAAATATCAAAATTAAATATTCATATTTTTTTCTTTTATATACTAATTTACTCTTAATGTCTGAACTCATATGACACAGAAGGTGATAGAGAAAGAAGCAAAATTCTTTTATTTTTCTTTATTTAAACAAGAGAAGTAGCTAAAGTTCACAGTTGATTTGTTATTTTAAATATCTTGTTTGTTCTCTATTGATAGTTTTAAATTAGTTTTTTTATTACTTTTTCTGTTTGTTTAATCTGTTATTTTTGCAGTACTTATTTTTATTTGCTTTTTTCTCTTACACCATAGCATCAGAGAAGGATTACAAACCATAAAAATTTTTTATTTTACATTATTTGTATTCTCTCAAACAGTCTTGCCGTACATATGGCACAGGTAAGACGACAATCTACTAATCCATCTCCAACACCTAGAAAAATTCCTCCAGTGCCGGATGCAGTACGTTTTCGAGCACCAACATCAAGAAGTACTAGACAGACACGTAGCTTTCATGTCAATGGTCAACCTCCACATCCTGGATCACCGATGCGAGCGGTGCATTCAAAACAAATCGTCAATCATTCACCACCTCGTATTGCTCAAACAACATCAGAAATTGGTGAATTCCATAACTCAAATAATTCAAAGTATGATCCATCAACTGGTTTAAATATTAATTTCAATGCTATTAATGAAAATCATGAAAAGTCATATATTATCAGTGCATCATTCAACTCATTAATTCCTCGTGAACGGCAACTACTTCTGTCAGCACCACCACCATCACCATCAGAAAGTTTATATCTATTGCAACAAAAAAAGCGTCAACAACAGAGATCAAATAATAATGACGTCTGTGTAATTTGATATATATTTAAATAATAGCATTTAAATATTTGTATTAGACAGAAGAATCCGTTGTCATACCAACACTAAGTGATGATGATGGACTTCCAGTAGTGTCTGTTGACAAAAATCGTGTGCCTGTTTATGCACGGTTTCCTTTTGATGTCAGTGTAAGTATTTGTTTCACTTAGAATTAACACTTTTTAGCATTTTTTTTTTGTAAAAAAAAAGTGAGAAATAAATGTTTGAGGGTAAGAGAAGAAATTGAAATTTTTTTTTCTCATTCCTATACTAAAAGTGAAGTGGAAAGATCATATTTTGATGGTAACAGCAACAGCAACGATTGACTATGACGACAACATACAACTACAACCAAAGAAACGACACGTTCTTTAACGTGCCTTTGTTAAGTAAAAGGAAAAAAAAGAAGAATAAAAGAGAAAATTTTGTTTTGTATCCATTACAAACCTGATTCTTTTTTTTCTTTTCATTTGCATCGATTTAATTTCTCTAGTTTCTACCACGACCAATGGATACTAATGTTGAAGATAATATTCATAAACTTCGTCTTCGTTTAATTGACTCTGTAAATTATTATAAATTAATTTATACTAATCATTATTTTAAATTTTTCATTTTGAGGAACTTGAACATCAACGTCGTAGCACGGATGATTATATTAAACGAACACGTACGTATTTTATTCTTGTTTGCATTTACAAAAAAAAAGAAAGAAAACAATTTATTCTAACAACCAAAGAAAAACTTTTTTCAGAAGAACAACTTTTTCTCTCATCTTCTAAATCACCAGAACATTATTTACATGATATCAGTTCATCAAACAATATAATTTTTCAACGAGTTAAACCAAAGATTTTGAGTCGACAAACATCATATTCACCATTATCTATTGAAATTCCGGTGCCTATTGGTAATTTTTCGAGATTATCTCGAGGTAGTCAGATTGTTATCACACAGATACACACGAGTTTTGCTTGATGTCACATTTGTACACATATCTACTTGCCTATCCTTATTAAGAAAATTATATATATCTATACATAACTAAATATTTAGATCGCATAGGAATGGAAAATAATCCTCAAGATCATTCAGATATTGAACGAGATTTAGAAATACGACGAATACAAGTTAGATAAATGATGATGAGAATTTTAAAAAATTTCTTATTAAGCCAATTATATCCTTTTTAGGAATCCTTAAATAGTGGTCGTCAATCAAATCAGCCATTAATGATATCAAATTATTCTTATGACCCTCGATTACATTTACAACCTTTAAATAGTATTTAAGGAAAATTATCTATTAAATATATAATTTTTTAATATAGATACACTGGAAGAACGTCAATATTCATCTTCTAATATGGATGATTTAATCGATTCAATGGCTAGACGTCATTTAGCTTATCGACGACTTGATGTATGTCTTTAAAATTGAAATTTCTTTTTCTTCTATTTCATAGATTGAATTCTTATTATTTTTTTCAGGCAGCTATTAGTCGTCAAAGACAGAGTCCGGGAGGTTACAATCCATATTTTGGTATGAAAGAAAATTTTAAACTTCGATAGATATTAAGTTTAAAAAAAAATATTATGTAGATACTTCAGGAGTTCGACGACAAGCGTCATTTCGCAGTCAACAGCGAGATGATGATATATTTTTCACAAATACAGAATCAACAAGTCATATTGGACAAGGTTTATTTGATAAATATAAAATTTCAATTGATGTTTTTCTTTGATTAAAGATTTTATTCGAGCAAATTCAAATAGTTTAAATCAAAGGCTTCGATCAGGAGTTGATTATTATAATCGTATTCAACCTGATCTTGATGATGTTTGTATCAGATTTTTAAGTTGTCAGTAAAATCAAAATGAATATAGTTTTTATTTAGTTAAGTTCGAATAATATGATCCGTACGAATTCCTATTCGAAATTACCTCCAATATCACCTGGAATCGATTCAAATCGTTTGAGTCGAACTCAGTAATTCACTGATCTTAATATAAACATAATAATCAATTAACTTTTTCTTCTTTTTATCTGTAAAGAAATCTATCAAATTCAGCTCTTTATCAAGCTAAACATAACTCTCAAGGACATCGAAATTATCAACAACGTTTAAATTTTCCTGATCATACTGAACATTTAATTGAATTACCAAGTGATATATTTCTTTCATCAAGAACAGGTGATCATTTAAAATTGCACGCCGAACAAGCTTAATATTGTTGCACCTATATTCACCATTTCATAATAAAAATAAACCCTTTAAATAAACCCTTTTCTTCTTGATTAATGATTTGTGTAATGTGCTTTGTTTTTGCTTTCTTATAAACTAAATATACGTGTGTGCGCGCATTTCACTATAGAACTAATCGGCTCATCTCAACGTCATCATCAAACTCGAACAACTAAGCCAGGATCAGTCTTGAAAGATAGTATGTACATAGAATTAATACTGATTGTTACTAGTGGTGTCTTTTTCTTTTGTTCATATGATTAGAATCAGATGTATCTGTAGATTCCGAAGTAGACCAATCAGATGGTGAAAATAATTCATCTATTGTTAATCACCAACATAGTCAAAATAAACAAAAATCAGCTAAAAAATCAGCCAAAAAATCAGCCAATGGTAAATAAAACTAAAATTTGACTTTTTTTCTTCTGTAATAATTATTCAAATAACTAATAGTGTCATTTGATGAATTAGCAAATCAAAATTTTTTTGTTTTGCTCTATCAGACCAGAATTGAGTATAGGCATTGATTAACTTTCTAAAATTCGTTTTGCTCTCATGAAGCAGAACAATGTTAATATAATCATGCTTTATTTCATATCATAGGTCATCATGGATTTTTTACTGAAGGAAATCCTCCACAACAACAAGAACTAAAAAAAAATAAATTTCATAGACGATTATTTCAAAAAGCAGCTATTGGCATTTTGTTTATAAATATTCTCAAACATGGTGCTGCTAAAAGCCGATTAGTAAGTACAAACATGATAAGAATAACACTCACTATAATAAAATAAATTTCTAATCTATCTAAAGAATCGTCCCAGTCAAACATTAAGTGCAACAATACATAAAATTCGATTACAAGAAATCATGGTTGCATTACATCGAGTTTATCTTGAACCTGATGGTCCAATTTATACTGCACTTATTCAAGCTGTAAGTAGTTCAATTGAATTAAAAGATGCATTAGATACATCATCGAAATATTATTCTGAAGCAATTAATGTTATTGGGCAAGCATTAAAAAATGTTATTTCAAAAATTGTTGATTTTATGGTGAGAACACAAAGAATTTATCAAATAAATTTGAAGAAATTTTATTTTTTAAATTTTTTTCTCTTAGCCAAAAGATGGTGTTCTAGGTACAGCTAAAAATTCAGCTATATCAACACTTATTCAAGATGGAAATCCATTTCCTGACAATTATTTTTGGAAATGTGAAAAAGTAAGTTTTCTTTGATTTTATTAGTATTTTTTTTGATAGATTATTGTCTTCCAGGATATTCTTGAATTTAATAAATCAAAAATTATAAATGTAACTAAACAACGAGCAACACTTTTACTTATCGGTATTTTTATTTTTCGAGCACTTGTTACAACAGTAGGTTGATTATACTGATCGATTGAAACCTACTTTGTTTTTTTTTTTGTTTACTTCATTTTTAAGTTACTTATTAAACCAATTAAATATCGATTTATGCTTGGTGAATTAACAACAAATCAAGCAGCTAGTCTTAAAGTTCTTGCATCAGTTATTTTGTATGTTGGTCGACGAGCAGTTAAATCCATTCCTCAAATACTCGTATGTAATAAAAAAGAGAAAAGGAAAAAAAATTTAATATTTTTTTTATTAATAGACTTTGCCACATGAATGGGAATCTTCATTATATAGTGATACAGATATTGAACCAATTATTCAACAGGCGGAAATCAAATCAATTATAACAACATGTGAAGTAAGTTATTTATTTCACTTCCTTAACAGTTAGATATAAATATATGTATATATATTGATAATCTTTTATTTAATTAAGCTAACATTACGTGTTTGGTGTGAAGAATATATTCGTCGTATTGATGCAAGTTTGGGTAAAGAATTACGAACATGAATATCATCATTGACTCATTTCCTAATGTCAAAATTGCTTTTTTCTCGCTACTCACAATTTGTTTGATTGTTTCTTCTTTCTTTTTTCTTTGCTATATATAAATGAATTTCCTGACAGGTTGTACTGTCAAGGTCATCATCATCATCCGTTTTTCTTTTGGCCTTTCGATGAAATTCATGAGGGAAATCGTGTATTCATATAATTGTTTTCTCTTATTTATCAGTTACTATAGAGTATTCTTCATCATTATCTAATTGTTCCATGCATACGCTAAAGCTAATTAAATTTAGTATCCATTCTCTGATGATTAGTCGACCGATCAAACAAGTTTCTTATGTATATTTAGTTATTTAGTTTGTTTTTCATTATAAATTCTTTCGTTTATTTCTTATGGCTGCTCTGCGAACAAATGTGGTATGAAATGAAAACAAGTGTGGAGAAAAAAAGAACGAGGAAAAAAAAGAAGAATTCAATCACAATTTGGCAACAATATAAAATAGGAACTCAAGAGAGAAAGAAAGAATTAAGACTACATTCAATTTTACAGGACGGCATTCACGTTATTTATATATGTGCGTATGTCTGTTTTAAGTATCAATAAGAGGGATTGTTATTTTGACTGCGAATAGTCTTAATAAATGATATTTTTAATTAGCAACTTCAGTAAGTATTGTACGTGATGATTGTACACGAGATGATAAACGTTGATCTAATTTTTGATTATCACCTTGTGTATCGATTGTACTTGTACTATTATTTATTGGTGATGTATTAACACTTCCAATTTTCATTTCCATTTCCTCTGCAAAAAAAATAAAAAAGAAAAGCAAGTATTTATAATTTGATGATTGTAAATACAAAAGCAAATATAAAATAAAATAAAATAAGAACAACATTAACAACAAGCAAATATCACAACAAAATAGAACATCTGTTGTTTTAAAAAATAGAATATCAAATCTAACATGCGACATATTGGAAACAAATAGGGAGTGAGGAAAATAAGGGGAAATCATTAGGATGTATTGGTTATTTTTAATACATAAACTTACAAAATTTTCATTACAATCATCACAACGGATGGTCTTCTAAAGAGATGCAGTAGTTTATTAATTTTATTTTTTTATAATTTCCTCTTTTTTTTCTTTCTTTTGCTTGTCATGAAAAGGAAAATCATATGGGTCACATCATAAAATATGCAACGTGCATGTAAACAAAACAGGATAATTTATCAGATAAAATAAGTGCATGATGTGAAAACTATAAATATATTTCGATCGAACTGAGCAGCAAAAGAATATCGTACCTAGTTTGTAAAAATGTTCAAAAAATCCTATGAATTTTTTTCTTAAACTTTGGCCACATGAGAATGATGACTACTAATCTTTGGACTAGGTTGAATCATTGGTATACGTTCTTCATCGTCATGTCCTATATGAATCAATGAAATATCGAGTGGAATTTCTAATATAAATATTATTAAGAGTAATAGAAATAAGAAATAAAGAAAAAAACAATGTTATAGCCTTTAGGTTTGGTTACTCGAATAGAGAAAAAAATGAATGTCGGTGCATGGACGAACAAACAAATGGTATAAACATTGCTATCTATGGCTCAAGAAGATGTATGGAAATATGGGAAAAGATAGAATATTGCTTCTTGATGTTTTTTTTCTGAGCAGAAATATAGCAATACCATAGACAAGAAGAAGTATTAGAATATGCTATTTACCATAAATATAGACAGATGTCTATGAATATAAATATAAATATATATATATGATGTAAGTTGCCTTCAGTATAACAATGAAAAGGGCACAAATATAAAAAAAAATGTAAGAGCTTAGGGTTCGACGAAAGGAAATAGAGAAAAAGAAGTTTAATGGATCAGATGAAATAAATGAGAAGAGGAAAAAAGAAAAGAAAAGAACGATTGGAGCATGAATATAGTTTATATACCTTCGAGGAATGCTTGAAAATTTTCGGTGACTAAATAAAAAAGTTTAACGACATAAAAGAATTTTAATAATACCTATTTTTCAAAACATTCTCAATACACACAAATATTCGATTATATATTATATAAGAAAATTTTATTTTTATGTTTTGTTTGATCTCTCATTAATAAAGATACATTTTTAGAAGATATAATGATTATCTTACCAATTCTATTGTGAATAATATTGTTTTCAGTCATACCAAATTTGGCAGCCATACCACCACCACTTTGTTTAATAACATTTTTTCGTGGTCCACCACCAGGTGGTGCGCCTTGCATGTTCATTGTTCCATCTGTCTTTCCAATATCCATACCGAATTTATTTATAGCTCTACTACCTCCACCTCCACCAGTACCTCCTCCTCCAACACCTCCACCACCATGACCAGTACTTCTTGGTGGTCGAACTGGTTCAACAGCCATAACTCTTCGTCGTTTCTTTGGTAATTTTGAGCGTGCTTGTGTATGTGAATAATACATAGCAAAATTAGCAACAATAACAGGAACTGGTAATGCAATTGTTAATACACCTGTTAATGCACATAAACCACCAACCATCATGCCAACATATGTTTTTGGAACCATATCGCCATAACCAACTGTTGTCATTGTTACGATAGACCACCAAAGTCCAATTGGTATAGATGTAAAATCATTATCTGGATTTTTTTGTAAACGTTCAGCATAATAAATTAATGAAGCAAATATGACAATGAATAAGACAAGAAAAAATATAAGTAACATTAATTCACGCATTGATGCTGTAAATGTATGAATAAGAATTTTTAATCCACCATAATGACGTGTTAATTTAAATAAACGAAATATACGTGTAATAGAAAAAAATTCAAATAAATCTGTATTTGTTAATGATGCTGGTAATACTTTATTAAATAATATGTCTAAATAAAATGATAATGTTGCAAGAAAATCAATGATATTCACAGGTGATTTAATAAAACCAAATTTTTTTGGTGATACTATAAAACGTGTTATAATTTCAAATGTAAACCAAACTAAATAAAAATAGAAAATAAAAAAAAACATAGTGTTTGTTTTTTTAAACAATAATTATCAATTTACCATTGCATGCTATTTCAATATATTGAAATGCTTCATGAGCTTCCGTTCGTTCTTTATATAATGTATACGTGGGTGTTATATTGGTAAAATTATTTTCAATTAATGCTATTGTTGGTACACGCATTGTTGGATGAGTTTTTAAACAAAATGATATTATTGAAACAAGTATAAAAAAGATTGAAACAACTTGTATAGCCTATTGGAACAATAATTAATTTATAATAATAGAAATTCGAAAGGAAAATAAAATCCATACTTTAGCTGCACTACTAGAATAGGGTTCTTCAAATAATTGCCATATACGTGGTTGTACACGTTTAAACCATGGTAATGTTTTCATATATTCTTGTACACTCATATTTTTATGTCGAATTGTTGGATCGAAATCCCAACCAAATTTATGTGGGATTTCTTCCTCAGTTATAGGTTCATCATCGAGATCTAAACGATCAAGACCAACAAGAACATCTTGTGTATCTCTGAAATTAAAAAAGTTTAAAATTATCTATGTATATGTAATGCTTAGTTATGTACCGATGAGTTGTATATGTCATCCAACAACAAGGTTCAACTTGATTAGCATCAAGACCCCAATATTCAAGTTCAGTTTCGAATAACGGACCACAAACATCAGTTGGGTAATGTAATTTACCTGTACGATAATAATTTAATATTTGTGCAAATACACCTGGATGTCGATCGAAATAAAATTCATTAAGGACAGAATCATAATTTGATAGAGCTTCAGTGAGACGGGAGAGGCGTGTAGCTGGTATTTTCTTTAATGTTGCTTTGTCTTAAGAAAAAATAAAAACAAATTTATTAAATTAAAAAAAAAACAACGATCAATCAATGAATACATACATGTTTCATGACGAATACCACCCACATTTAGGATAACCCGATTATCGGCATCGGCCATACGATGTATATCGACAACTATCAAGAAGGTTCCACAATTCGTTTGAACAAAAAGAACATCGATGATGATGACGATGATGCTCTTGTTTATCTTTTGAACCGTCAGATCCAGACGTAGCAGGAACGAGTTTATATCTTCATACATATAGCTGACGTGTGGCCTGACATGCAAAGCACCGGTCAACAGCAACAGCACAATCTAAAATCAAATTTATTTTATCGATGACAAATTCAAGTACATATGAATTATGTATATATACATAAATAAGAACTACATCATCAGCCTAGAAGTTTCTTGTAAAAAAAAGAAGTGATTGATGTAGCGATCGGGTAATGTTGCTCGTAGAAACGAAGAGGAAGTCAAGAGGAATAAAGCAAGATGGAGAGATAGACAAATCAGCTCTATATGAGACAAGCAAATTGCGTTGGGAACGCGATCAAGTCGTGTGCACACGAGTGTTTTGCCAGAACAAATTTTTATGTCGTCGAGCCCTCACAAGCAAGAATGACGATGATCGAGTGATATGGCAACTGAAGAAGGAAAGAAAAAAAGATGAGTATTGCTAGAAGATGTATGCGTCTTCACACAAAGAGAAAACAACGCGTTGTCTGTCTTCTACGAGTTTCAATGAAAAAAAAAACATACCGATATAAATTAAATATAAAAAACAAATATATACATATATTATTCTCACATGTTTTTCATGCTGTTTGATTTCTTGACGTAAATGCACTTGATGGATTGTGACAAAAATGAAAACTAGAAGAAATTGATTAAAAATAAGAATATTAGAGAATTTCTCCAATCCTTTTCAAGTTATTTAGATCACATATTTTGAACAAATGTCAACAGCATTAAAGAAATAACTAAGAGCAAGAATGAAGATGATGGAATGAAAGAATGTTGATTCTTAAATAGAAGAGAAAAAACGTATTGACAATTAGACAAGATAAATCTTCATTTTAAAAAATTTATGTTTCTTCAATATTATCTTCTCTTGAGGCTAAATGTCGCAACAAATGATCGTTACAAATATGGAAACAGCACGACTTAATTGGATTTATTCTTCAGTTTTTTTTCTCCCCTATTACCGGTGTGTTCTCTTGAGTCTTGGCGTACACGCATATATAGGATAGCAGTCAAATAAAAAAACGATCCAACATATGGTCGCCTTGTGGATGCGAATCCGATCATTATTCTTTGTTGCATATACTTATAAGAAAGATAGAGAAAAAGGCACACAAAAATATAGTGTCAAAGAAGACAGGTTCAAATCAATAATCTTTTTTTTTTCTTGTTATTTATATCAAGTACATATTTCTTCATAGTTTTACTTTTAAATGCATAGTAATAACAAAAAGAAAATAGGTCGGCGTTATTTTGCTAAGTGAAAAAAGAAATGCGCTTACATACAGTATTTCTCTATTTACTATAACTTCACCTTGACAATCTAATTATAATATTTGCTAGAAGACACAGACTCTCGTGTCTGAATGTTCAATCTAACGAAGTAGAATTGATCATGGCAAACACGGAGAAGAACAAGAAAAATAGTAGAGAAAAGAAGTGGCAAGAAAACAGAACAACGAAAATAAAAGAGATTAAATCATTGACGCGTATACTGTAACTGGAGAAGCTTGCTTTAGTCTTTTCCGTTAGTATATTCTAACATACACATCTATAATAACGAGAAGGAAAAGAGGAAACATTTATGTCATTGAAAGATGCACGACGTCAAAGGAAGAACTCAACGAAGAAACACAAAAGAAATTTGAAAAGAAAGAAAACTGTTTTCCGTATAATCAGGTGGGAAACACAGATTCTTTATCTTGTAATTGATACTTGATATAGAAGACGAAGAAAAAAAAAAATATGCGAAAGTACTACGTCAATTTGAAAAGTCTACATGCATAGAAAAACAAGCAGAAAAATGTGAATAAAAACGGAAGAACATCATTACATCTTCATGATAATCGTCATTCTAAAATAAAACTGAATAACAATAGCACAGGATGAACATTTATATATATATATATATAGATGTGTGGAAAAAAAGGAAAAAAGTATAATTTTCAAAAGAAAATATCATAAAAGCAATGAAAAAGAAGAAAAAGAAGAAGACCGTGAATGACAGGAAGACCGGTAAACGTCTATCATCACCCGAACCGACAACTAATCTGTAAAACATAAAGATGAAAGATCTTTACGTATGTGTATACAAGATGATGACTAGAAATGGCAAATAACAGCACGATTAATGTCAAACGATGATGCCTGGTAGCATCTCGTCGTGCTTGACATGCACTTTAATAGACGTTGATGGACGGAAAAACTGCATGTATATAAAGATGTTGATAGCAACAGAAAAAACAAAAAAACAAGCATTATTAAGAAAAATCTTGTACAGATCTAATAATATTATGACAAAAGAAAGACAACAAGAAAATATATATGTATATTGAGACGATTGTGTGGGAACATGATTAACAGTCAGACATATGCAATATTCGTTTGTCAATATCATATTAAATAAAATGACAAGACAATAAGAATGATTCAATGTAAAAGATTCTTATGTGTACATACACGGTATGTCTATCTTACTCACTTGAGTGTTTGCGGGCGTCTAATATGACGTAATAGTTTTCCCTATTTTCATCCGTCCTTCTGTGAATCATTATTATTTTGGCATGATGACTGAGTGTATGTGTATATGAGAAGCAACTCGGATAACAACGATAATCAAAAAAAAAGAAGAAGAAGGAAAAGAAGAGTATTTCATTAAGATTGCGATTGCTTTTTTTTTTCTTTACTTGTTACTGCTATTGCTACAACTGATGTTAATACTACTTCCACTACTGTTGTTGTCAGCATTATCTTCTCTCTCAACTTCAGTATTCATCCTCTCAAACACATGTTTCACTTGTCTAAATCTAATGCAAGCAATAGAACTACATTGTAATGACTGCGATGGAAAGAGCAATGAAAAAGAATTCTTTTCGCTTCTCTTTCTATTTTACTTGCTTTTTTCTACTTTCTCTCTCACTCTTTTCCCCTTTTTCCCCATTCCGTTGTTCTGCTATGAACGGTCGCAAATTGTAACAAAAAAAAAGAATAGCGCATGACAGAGCAGAGTGTTGAGAGAGTCATTTTGAAGGAGAGGCAAAAGATGAAGTTTCCTTTGTTCATCAATAAAAAACGCTTTTTTCGCTGTTTTCTCTCATAGTCTTCTTCTATTCTTGCATACTGCTACAACCGCCTCTGCATCTTCAACATCGCCTGGGTCGCGAGCAAGTAATGGAAGAAAGAGTGCAATAAAGCGTCTAAGCTATTTTCCGTGTTGTTTCAAAGATCGATTTCGCTTTTATTTTCTCGCTTTTATAATTCTTTCTCTCTCTTTCTCTTTTTTGCGAGTCTGCTTTTCTTGCTTGGCAATAGTAGTTCAACTCGATGGATGATTTTCATAAAACAATATGCAACACATGTGCATCATTTTTTGTATTAATATCAGCTAGAACGCTTCAGAATTGATAATTCAAATTAACATCGTTGTATTAATGATTTTTTTGACAGGCAAAGATTTATGCCTTTACAGATAAAGAAAAATGAAAAATAATTAAACTTCTATTAACATTGAATCATTAAGAAAATATTGATAACAGGTGACAGAAAAATTAATCAAATTTAGGCTTTTTACGATGACAAAGACACTTTTCTTTTTATATTCAAAGTTTAATATAATCGAGAGTACCTAGCATCTTTGTCATGATTCTGTACAATCTAATCAATGTCAAAAAAATTTCAGAACTAATGAATATATACAGTATTGCATTATGATTGTGCAATTTTTGCCACGTATACCATGACAGCATAGAAGAATAAAACATGAAAAGGAGAACCCATCACTTAATGACATATTTCAAAGTTGAAAAAAGGAAAAAAACAAACATGATATTCATACATGTATGTATATGAGCAGACTTTTCTTCAGTTGACTGACAAAATCAAAACAAAATCAAGTCAACGATTATACATAATATTTTATACACAACAACATGGGTTCATCATTGACAAAACTTTCATTTTACTTTCCCAAGAAAGAGGAGATACTCATATTCATGTGAAGTCTTGATACAGCTAGAAAAACAACTATACTTTATGTAACAAAACTTGGTGAATTCATATCAACAGTACCAACAATTGGTTTTAATGCTGAAACAGTAAAACATGGAAATATTAATATCACAGTTTGGAATTTTGATGGGCGTGAAAAAATTCGATCATTATGGCGTCAATTTCTTGAAAAGACATCAGCAG